TTTGAAAAAAATCAAATTTATAGAAAAGAGAAAGCTTCCTCTTCTGCCTATTTACCTCTGTATGGACTTGTGTATTCCTATTATTCAATATGGTGTAATCTATCACTATCATTACCTACTTTGAAGGTCACAGTGATCCAGATTTGGCCAGTGGGGATCGCTTCAAACTAGCTCTATGTCTTTTGACAAGTGATCATTAATTCTTTGAGCATTTCTTTACTTTCTTGAGCAACACGTAATTCAAAATATCTTGTACTTTCTCTGTCTCAACCCTGCAACCAGCCATTTTCAACAAGTACTGGTTCCTTATAGTGGATATGGATATTTAGAAGAAATATCTGTGCACTCAGAATGTTTATTTTCACTGGGGCTCTCATTGTTTCCAAGCCCTCTCAAAGAACAGAGGTAGGAAATATGCATGTGTACACATAAACATACAAACATATATATACATATATCATCTATTTTTATATCTATCATGTATATATTTTTAAACACATTAGTTTACATACCAATATTTTTAGTTCCCATCAAGCAACTCAGTGTTCTCTCCTGCCTCCCTCCTTCCACATTTGTAAATCCCTTCTCCAACAATGAGAAACCTGACTCAACATTATTCTCAATATGCTTATTTATTTGTTCAATTGCCATTATGTAACTGATCTATCTACTGTATCAGTTGCCTCTTCAGCCCCTAGCAAGGAAGGAAGGAAGGAAGGAAGGAAGGAAGGAAGGAAGGGAGGGAGGGAGGGAGGGAGAATGGTAGGGTGGGAGGGAGAGAGGAAAGAAGATGGTGAAGAAGGGAGAAAGATGGAGAGACACACACTAATTCCATGTTAAGGCTTCTTGCTTGCAGATTGTTCATAAAACCAAGGACTTACTTAGATAAAACAGTTTAATACTGTTTCAAAATGCCAAATAGAGAAAGAAATAGAGAGTCTGATTAGGTGTTTAACTTTCTGTGCTTCTTGCAGTAACACAAAGTTTCTTTCAATAACAGTCTGCATCCTACCAAGGCTCTTCTACATGCATATGACAATGGTGAAGGGTGTTGCTACCAGTGATGCAACAGTGTCCCTATTTGGGCTTCACAGTTACATTTCTCCTAATTCATAAAACACATGGTCCTCATGATCAACCACCATGTCACAAAAGCTGTGTTGAAAGGAATCGACACAAAGTGCCCAAACCAGCCCTTCCCCATGGAATCTTTGATAGTGAAAACTCATGTTCTTAAGGACTAAATATAAACACAAGAATATCTTTATCAGAAATTATCAAGTCTTTATTCTCTCTAGAAAAGGTCTTGGTAGAATTTTTAAAGAAAAATAGTGATAATTTCTTTGATAATGTATAATTGTCTCTGCAATTTATGAAATCCTAGTGTTCATGTAACCTCATTTAGCAAAATAAGGAATTACCTTATAGAAATGTGTGTAATACGATAATTTTATAGTTATTGGATGACCTCAGTGGAGTTTCAATATATGAATAATATTCTTCACTTTTTATTAGAAAAGTCTTAGCAAATTCTGATCATAATGTGAAGCCCTCCTTATATAGCCACTTATCCTTCATATAAGCCTCTTGTCTAGGTAGTACTAAGTCTTCCTCAGGAACATCACATTCAAGCTTACCTTTAGAAATATTCCTATGAAGCTTAGAAGCCAGATTTCTGGGTTGACTCCACCCAGTAAAGGATCAAAATTATGCCTAACTGTCGATACAGTAAAATCAATAAACAAATTGAAGCACATTTAAAAGTAGAGTATTATACACCAATGAGTGAATTAGAAATATGCAACAAGAAAGAACCTCACAAATATAAATGTATATATCATATGTTTCTGTTTATATGTTTCAAATGTAGACAAATAATGTATGGTGTTAGAAGTAAGGTAGTATTATTTATGGGGGAGTAATGTCAAAGAGGTTTCAGGATTCTTTTTTTTTTATATATTTTTATTTTTATTTATTTTTTTTAATTGAATTTATTTTGGTGACACTACTTAATACAATCATATATATTTCAGGTGTGTAATTCTATTCAAGTACATTTTTTTTTCTCTCTTCCCCCCCCCCCCGCCCGGTCTCCCCCCTCCCTCCCGTTCCCCCCCCCCCAGTCCTCATCTCTGTGTCATTCATACTTGTTCCTCAAAATCCCTCCCCCTTTTTCCCCTTATGTTCCCTTCCCTCTCCCCTCTGGTCGCTGCCCACTTGTTCTCTATTTCAGCGTCTTTGTTTTTATTCTGCTTGCTTGTTTGTTTTATTCTTTAGCTTCCTGTCAAAGGTGAGATCATATGGTATTTGTCCTTCAATGCCTGGCCTATTTCACTCAGCATAATGCTTTCCAGTTCCATCCATGTTGTTGCAAAAGGTAGTAGCTCCTTCTCAGGATTCTAATACTATTTTGTTTCTTGTTCTGGGTACTATTCCTTTTCATCAAGCTACAGACTTACAATTTGTATATTTTTCTTATGTATGTTAAGTTCAATAGAATAAAATAAATATGCCTCAAAAGACTCCTTCAATAAAACATCATTGACTGTAAGAATATTCAGAAGATTTCAGAGCTAAAAGGACAATCATAGGTCATATTATAACATATCCAAATAAAGGTAGAATTCTTTATGTCCTCTGGCTATGACAGTGGTCTTCTCCTTTGTCCCAATGCCAACTAATTCTAACTAGGTTGGCCCTATGTATATATTTGAATTGGATACATTTAATACCATGTGGATACCACTCTCTTGCTAGAGAATTTGTAGAAGTCCTATATTTTTGAAAAAGCTGACTCTTCCCCAGTCAGATTTGCTAATATGGGTTGGAGAGCTTACTCAACATCAAAGTACCTTCAGGGCCTAATGACTACTAACTGTGAGGAGGTGATGAAATCCAATTATAAGAGGTGCATATTTTCCACAAAGCAGTAAGAGTCAACTACCTTATTTAAATGTTGCATTTAAGGATGTCAGCAAAGTAGGTTGAAGATGCACTAACCTCCTCCCAGAACCAAACTGGATTTACAACTAAGTTATAAAAAATAATCATCCTGAATGACCAACTGAAGCCTAGCTTGAAAGCAGCCTTATAACCAAGGACTTACAGAAGAAATCACACTACCACAACAAGACTGGTAGAAAATGCAGAGATGTGAGAGGGCTGGCTAGGAACCCACTGTGACAGGTGAATTTCCAGAAGGATGTTTCAGTGCTGTGGAAGGATGGTTTACCTGGAGAAGTGTGGAGACTGAACCACAGGTTGGGTTTCTCAGCCTGGAGTACCAGAACAGAGAAAGGAATCCAAATAACAGCTGGCTATGAAAAAGCAGTGAGGTTTCTGTCCACCAGGGAAAGATGGATAGAGATGCAGGCAGCCTCTTAAAGGGCCAACACAAAAAATTTTGTTTGTAGATAATTACCCTGGATTCTGGCAGTAGGACTGCAGAGCAGGCTACGGCCATGTGAGGAGAGTCTCATGTTTGGTGGCTCTGGGGAGAGAGCACAAGGGTCAGCCACCATTATCCCTCTGCTCAGTCACTTCAGGCTGAAAACCCCTCTCCATGTGGCATCAGCCTGGGAGCAAGGAATAGCCCCACCCACAGAAATCTCTCTTGCTCCTACCTGTAGGTCTTAAGCCCTGCTGCTAAGGAGTACATCTGGAGGCAGGTTCAGTGATTACGCCTAACAGACACCTGTAAACAGAGATGGACCTCTTGAATCTTTGAGACCTTAGCTGACACTCCCTTGGGTCAGGTACTGATAAATACAGTCTTGGTATGCAACTTGGTTCTTTCTGCACATACCCAGGACCAACAGAGGGAGCCACAAGTTGTGGGTCACTGATAGCTCCAAACAGGTTCCCCGAGGTAAGTGACAGGCATCGACTGACATGGGCCTCCAAGAGAGTCTTTGCAGATCAACTTAATACATAGAAACAAACACAAAGAGTCAGCCAAAATGGGGGGACCAAGAAACAGACCCCAAATGAAAGAACAAGAGAATTCTCCAGAAGAAAAGATAAAATGAAATGAGGCAAGCAATTTATAAGACATAGAGCCAAAGGAATGATAATAACAATACTCATCATCATGAAAAAAGACATAGGATAAAAAATGACCAGTCAGAAATAAAGAAAGCAATATATAAAATAAATAATACACTGGAAAGAATGAAAAGCAGGTTAGATGAAGCAGAGGATCAAATCAGCAATTTGGAAGACAAGATACCCTATCAGCAGTAAAAAGAAAAAACAACTCTATAATGAGGACAGTTTAAGGGACTTTTGAGAGAACATGAAGCATAACGATATCAGTATAATGGGGATACCAGAAAGTAGAAGACAGTGAGCAAGGGATAAAGAGCCAATTTGAAGCAATAATACTAAAAACTTCCTTAATCTGGTGAATAAAAAGGACACACAAGTCCAAGAAGTGCAGAGAGTCCCAAACAAGATGGGTCCTAAGAAACCCACACCAAGACACACCACATTAAATATGGTAAATCTTAAAAACAAGGAGAGAATTTTAAAAGCCCCAAGAGAAAAGCAGGTAGTTACCTACAAGGCAGTTCTCATATAAATCTCTTCTGATTTCTCAACAGAAACATTTCAGGCCAGAAGCAATTGGCATAAAATATTCAAGGTAATAAAAAGCTAGGACCTACAATCAAGCCTATTTACACTGCAAGAATATGATTTAAAATTGACGAAGAAATAAAGAACTTCCCAGACAAGAAAAACCTAAAGGAGTGTGTCACCACAAAACCAGTATTGCAAAAGATGTTAAAAAGCTTCCTTGAAAACGGAGGAGGAGGAGGGAAGAAGAAGAAAAGAAAGAAAAAAAGAGAGAAGAAAATAGCAAAAAATAAAAAGGCAATAAATGTGTAGGTATCAATAATCATTTTAAATGTAAATGGCTTAAATGCTGCAATCAAAAGACATAGGGTAAATAAACAGATGAAAAAAACAAGACCCAATTATGCTATCTCCAAGAGACCTACCTCAGAATGAAAGATACAGAGATGCTGGGAAGATGTCGACGGAGTAAGAGGGAGCTGATGCTAGCTCCTGTACTCATGGGTGAAAATCCTGGCAGATCTATAGAGAAACAGCACAATAAACCATCGGTTACCCAGCATTTATGAAAGTAAAACACCAGAGACTGTGACCGATGCTGAAACACCAGACAGCGCCAGGGTCAGCTACTGGAACTGGGACACACGTGGCCCCTGTGTTGCCGCCGGAGCAACAGGCCTGGGAGCCGGGGAGTCAGGTACAGGAGCCGGACACTCCAAGCCCTTGTGACGGTCCCGGGTGACAGAAGTGTCAGGAACCGGAGGTGGGACATTCTCGGTCCCTGTGCCAATGCCATAGCTACCGGCCTGGGCAACAGAAGATCAGTTGCAGGAGCTGGGACACCGGAGGCCCCTGTTACGCCGCCATAGAGACGGGCCTGGGCACCGGGGAGCCAGCTACAGGAGCCAGGACCTTCTCAGCCCCTGTGCCACTGCCATAGGGACGGGACTGGACGCCGGGGAGTCAGGTACGGGAGCCGGGACACTCCAATCCCCTGCAACGGCCCTGGGCGGCTGAGGAGTCAGCAACGAAGAGCCAGGACATTCTCAGCCCCTGTGCCGCTGCCATACGAAGGGACTGGATGCTGGGGAGTCAGGTATGGGAACCGGGAAACTCCAAATCCCTGTGACGGTCCTGGGAGGCAGAGGAATCAGCTACGCAGCTGAGGCATTCTCAGCTCCTGTGCCGCTCCCATAGCGACAGGTCTGGACGCTGGGGAGTCAGGTACCCGAACTGGGATATTCTAAGCCTCTGTGCCACTGCCATAGAGACAGGACTAGATGCCGGGGAGTCAGGTACGGGAGCTGGGACACTCCAAACCCCTGTGAGAGCCTTGGGTGGCAGAGGAGCCAGCTACGGACGCCGGGACATTCCCAGCCCAGGTGCCACTGCCATAGTAAAGGGCCTGGGTGCTTGAGGAGGCGGCTACTAGAGCTGGGACATTCAGCAGTGGTAGGCGACCAACGCAGGGATCAGCGCGAGGACCAGTGTGAGAGTAGGTGGAGACGAAGAACATCAAGAAACTTCAAGGAGTATGCACCACTGAACTTCACAAGGATCATAACACAGAAATTCACACCATAAAACAAGGCTTTCAGAAAAGATCAATTTTAGAAGCAGAGAGTAACAAGAAGAGTCTCAAACAATGCGAAGACAAAGAAACAACCCCCAAATGAGAGAAAAAGCGGAAAGTTCAGAAAGAATGTTAGATGAAATAGAGGCTGATCAATGATCAGATAGTGAATTCAAAGCACTGGTTATTACGAAGTTCAAAGAGCTCACAGTGAACTATAAGAAACTTCAGGGGAACTACAATGATCTCTCTGCAAACTACATCAACATGAAAAAGGAAATGGAAACTATCAGCAAGGGAAAAGAGGAAATGAAGAATACAATTTCCGAATTGAAGAACACAGTAGAAAGTTTCCAAAGTAGGATAGATGAAGCGGAGGATAGGATTAGTGAGTTGGAGTAGAAGGTAGAAAGCATCTCACAGAAAGAGCAAGAAAATGAAAAGAGGCTCAGAAAGAATGCAGAGGGATTAAGAGAAATGCAAGACAATATGAAATGTAATAATATTCGAATAATAGGAATACCAGAAGGAGAAGAAGAAGAACAAGGGATAGAAAACGTATTTGAACGAGTAATGAGAGAAAATTTTCCTAATTTGATAAGAGAAAAAGTCTCACAAATCCAGGAATCACAGAGAGTCCCGACCAAGAGGAACGCAAGGAGGCCCACTTCAAGATACATCACCATCAAAATGGCAAAATTCCAAGACAAAGAGAGAATCTTAAAGGCAGCAAGGGAGAAAAAAGAAATAACATACAAGGGAGCCCCAATAAGGTTAGCTACTGACTTCTCAAAGGAAACACATCAAGCAAGAAGAGAATGGCAAGAAATATTTCAAGTAATGAGAACCAGAGGCCTACAACCAAGGCTACTTTACCCAGCAAGGCTCTCAATCAAGATAGATGGCAAAATAAAGAGCTTCCAAGACAAAAGAAGTCTAAAAGAATATGCCTCCACCAAACCAGCTCTACAAGAAATACTAAAAGGACTGCTTTAAGGGAAGGAAGGATAAGAGGGAGACAGAGAGGAACACAGGTACAAAAATGGCAATGAATAAGTACCTATCAATAATAACCTTAAATGTAAATGGATTAAATCCTCCAATCAAAAGACACAGAGTAGCTCAATGGATAAGAAAGCATGACCCACACATATGCTGCCTACAAGAGACTCACCTCAGGACAAAAGACCATCACAGACTAAAAGTGAAAGGCTGGAAACAAGTTTTCCAAGTAAACGGACGAGAAAAAAAAGCTGGGGTAGCAATTCTCATATCAGACAAAATAGACTTCAAAAAAAAGGCTATAAAGAGAGACCCAGAAGGTCATTTCATTATACTCAAGGGAAGAAACCACCAAGAAGACATTAACATTGTAAACATATCTGCACCAAACATAGGGGCACCCAAATATATCAAGAAAATCTTAGAGGACTTCAAGAAAGATATTGACAGCAACACAATCATAGTAGGGGATTTGAACACCCTACTATCAAAAATGGACAGATCTTCCAAACAAATGATCGACCAAGATATTGTGGCATTAAACAACACCCTAGATGAAATGGACTTAACTGATATATATAGAGCCCTTCATCCCAAAGAAGCTAAATACACATTCTTTTCAAATGCACATGGAACATTTTCAAAGACAGACCACATGATAGGACACAAAACGAGCCTCAAAAAATTCAAGAAAACTGAAATCATACCAATCGTCTTCTCTGACCACAAGGGACAGAAATTGGAAACCAACCCCAAAGAAAAAACCCAAAGCACCCAAAATCACGAAGACTGAATGGTATGCTATAAACAACAAATGGGTCAAGAATGAAATTAGGGAAGAAATCAAAACGTTTCTGGAAACAAATGAAAATGATCTCACAACAACCGAAAACTTATGGGACACAGTGAAGGCAGTCCTGAGAGGGAAGTTTATAGCAATACAGGCCTACCTAAAGAAGACAGAAACATTTCAAACAAACAACCTAACCCTAAGCCTGCAAGAACTCGAGGAACAACAACAAAGACAGCCCAGAGCAAGCAGAAGGAAGGAAATAACCAAGATTAGAGCAGAATTAAATGACATAGAGACTAAAAGCACAATTCTAAAGATCAATGAATCCAGGAGTTGGTTCTTTGAAAAGATAAAAAAAAAAATAGACCAGCCTTTAAGCAGGCTCATCAAGAAGAGAGAGGACACTAGTAAACACAATCAGAAATGAAAGAGGAGAGATTACAACTGATACCACAGAAATAGAAGGGATTCGGGGGGGGGGGGGATGGGATGGGAGAAATTGACAAAAAAAAACTGTACTTGAAAAATAACTAAACAAATTTAAAATAATAAAATAAAATAAAAAATAAATAAAAAGCTCTAAAGATTAAAAAAGACATAGAAGGGATTGTAAGAAATTCCTATGAAGAAATGTATGCCAAGAAATTTGAAAACCTAGGGGAAATGGACACATCTCTAGAAAAATACAATCTTCCAAAACTCAGTGAAAAAGAAGCAGAAAATCTAAACACACCAATAACAGCAAAAGAAATTGAAGCAGTAATAAAAAAACTCCCATCACACAAAAGCCCTGGACCAGATGGTTTCACAGGAGAATTCTACAAAGCATTTAAGGAAGAGCTAACCCCTATTCTCCACAGACTATTGCAAAAAATCCAGAAAGATAGAAAACTCCCAAATTCTTTCTATGAAGCCAGCATCATCTTAATTCCAAAACCAGATAGAGATACAACAAAGAAAGAAAACTTCAGGCCAATATCACTGATGAACATAGATGCTAAAATCCTCAACAAAAGATTGGCAAATCTCATCCAACAATATATCAAAAAGATCATACACCATGACCAAGTGGGATTCATCCCAGGGATGCAAGGATGGTTCAATATTCGCAAATCAGCAAATGTAATATATCACATAAACAAAAGCAAAAACAAAAATCACATGACCATATCAATACATGCAGAAAAAGCTTTTGATAAGGTACAACACCCATGTATGATAAAAACACTCAGCAAAGTGGGAATACAGGGAGCATTCCTCAATATAATAAAGGCCATATATGAGAGACCTACAGCCAATATCATACTCAATGGGCAAAAACTAAAAGCTTTTCCACTAAGATCAGTAACAAGACAAGGTTGTCCACTTTCACCACTTCTATTCAATATAGTATTGGAAGTTTTAGCCACAGCAATCAGGCAGGAAAAGGAAATAAAAGGCACCCAAATAGGAAAGGAGGAAGCAAAAATGTCACTGTTTGCAGATGACATGATAATCTACATGGAAAATCCTATAGACTCTACCAAAAAACTGGTCGAACTAATTAATGAATTTGGCAAAACAGCTGGTTACAAAGTCAATATCCAGAAGTCAAAGGCATTTTTGTATACTAACAATGAATCAGCAGAAGCAGAAATCAAGGAAAAAATCCCATTTGATATAGCAAAAAGAAAAATAAAATATCTGGGATAAAACCTAACCAAGGAGGTAAAAGACCTGTATGCAGAAAACTACACAGCCCTGAAGAAAGAAATCAAGGAAGACACAAACAAATGGAAACATATACCTTGTTCATGGATTGGAAGAATTAACAGCATCAAAATGTCCATACTACCAAAAGCAATTTACAGATTCAATGCAATACCTATTAAAATACCAATATTATATTTCACAGACATAGAACAAACACTTCAAAAATTTACATGGAACCATCAACAAGTCCGAATAGCAGCTGCTCTTTTGAGAAAGAAGAACAAAGTAGGAGGGATCACAATACCTGATATCAAACTTTATTACAAGGCCACTGTAATCAAAACAGCCTGGAACTGGCATAAAAACAGGCACATAGACCAATGGAACAGAACACAGAGCCCAAAAATCAACCCAACTCTCTACAGTCAATTAATATTTGACAAAGGGGGCAGTAACATAAAA